TATTCTTCAAGGTGAGAATCTAGTGTCAAAATAAATAAGGCAGATAGATACTTCTTTATTAACAGTATCATTCAGATTTATATTTAATTAATTAAAATGTCAGCATGAAGATACTGAAGGAAGCTGCTGCAGGCTTTATGGTTTGCTGCAGAATCTAAAGGACCTCGCTGCAAAAAAAATCTTATGATGTCCTACATATTTCTTCGTGTAAATGTGGATGGCTCAGTTGCTGGCATTTGGTCAATGGAGTTTTTCTTCTGTTGGTCTTCGAATCAAGGTTGAGCAGCACATAACAAGAGACGGTATTTTTATTTTCTGCGAATCAGTCAGACCTATCACCTCTAAAACTCGTCTTCATAACTCTCAGCTGTCTTGGGAACCTTAGCAGAAAAGCCAGTGTAGACTGGATTGTTACACAGGCTCTTCTGGAGCCAGAAGGAGGACTCTGGCTGCAGGGAGCAAGGTCTCTTTAGACCCATTAGGTTGCTCCATTTGTACTTTCCCCGCTCTGTGAAAAGATAGAGCTCTCCACCTTACATTTTTAATCTGTCTTTGTCACTAGCCTGGAGCTTAATTTTAAAATTTCCTCCACCAAAAAAAGGCCTGTAGCCACTTCTTGCTTGCCGGAAGTGCAATACAACGTAGAATGCTGGCAACTGTCGGTACTTTTATAGCTGGCCGACAAACCATCAATTTGAATGAACAAAGCAGACTATTTTCTCGTACTTATAAGACCTACATTTATAGTATCCACATGCTGGGTAATTACTGCTAAATAATTTAATACTGTAAAAACTGACATATCCATTTAGGTGTATGCCTGTTATATTGTTAAACTGTATTGGGGTTCTGACCTCTATTAGACAGCAAATAATCCTACTAAAGACCGGTCATTCTCTCTCTCTCTCTCTCTTTCTTGCTCTCATGGTGAATTTTATTCATAAAGCTTAGGGTTTTGCAGCTATTCTCATAGTCCTGCGATTAGTAAGGGCACACTTGTGACAGCACTAAAAATTCAGTGTAATCACAATCATGTTTGATTACCAATTCAGAAGGATCTAACTATCTAGCTGCAAGGATAATTTTGCTCACTGTAAACAGCTCGTAGAATTGTGTGCGATCATGTTGTGTGACCAAAAAAAAAAAATCGAATTAGATTATTTGCTAAATGCCAAGGCACATTAAATATTTTTGACAACAATGAAGATTCTTTGTAAATTGTAATTAGACTGGAAATTATTGCACAGAGCCTGCTTCTCTATAATCCTTTTAAATCAGAGTAGTTGTAATTGGCCTTAGAGACTCAAACTGTTTCGTGTTTTATTTTCTAGAAGTTCCGCTTCTGCATATATAATAACAGAATCCTTTGTGGATACGATACAATAGACATGTGTGTAGGGCTATTTTAGTTTATTTGTTTTGGTAGTGAGTCAAATAACCAGAGTAAAAGAATATACAAAAGAAAATATGCCGAATGCTTCTGGATATGAATGGTACTTACATGCAAAGAAAAGCAAAGAAATAATAATGGACCAGCTGAGGCTGAGGTAAGCAGCATAGCCCTGCTCGTTAACATCGGCTGAAAATCTGGAATTATATTTTGCTTATGGATTCTCATTCTGTGTTTGATTTTGGTACTGTCAGAGGCTTTAGGAAACCTGATGATCTGGGTTTTTCGGAACATGAACGCATGGATGTTTTGCATGTTCTGGAGCTCTTAAAGCCTCCCTTTCACATTTACAATTTTTTGTCTTCTGATTTTAGGTTCACATGAGATGGAAACTTGAGGAGATCCTGTGGGAAAGGATGAATTTTGCCACAGATGTTCTACATCAAAAGATGGCCCCTTTCAGCTTAAGGCCCTTATACTGCCAATGGCACTGGAACATGAATGTTCGTGTGTGTGTGTGTGTGTGTGTGTGTGTATGTAAATAATAGCTGTGGGAATGGGAGGGAGCAGTGGCAGATAGTCAAGGAGTTAAGTGGAACTCAAAATTAAGTGGGAATTTTGAGGCTTATTTGATGTAACACTTGGCTTTGAGGATGGAGGAAGTTGGACTTGAAGCAAACCTGCAAATTATAGCTCAGCCTCATTAGAAATTAGCTGGTAGTAATCAGAGAGCCTTAACCACATGGAAAAGTATCTTTATTCTCGATATGTGGGATTCTGTTGGGTGAATGTATTGCTCATTGACTCATAGGCTGAATTGACTGATGAATTAACATGAACAAATCTGTCAATACATTCGATATAATTTTTCAGCTCAACTCTGCTGAGGTTTGATTTATCACCAATATCTGAAATGATGCAAAGTTTATCTTGGAATAGTTTACATAGTTCTAACACTGATGTGATCATGACTTTCACTGAAATGAATATAATTGCCGCTCTGCAGATATGATGAGAAAATAATATACCTAGAGCCACTTCACCCACTTCATGTATGAAAGTTACAAATCACGATCTCCTCTGAGACTCTGTGTCACTTTTAGACCTATTGAATTATTTCAGACTTTCCTTTATATAGCTGAGGCCAGACATTGGGCTACATAAGATCTTTTTATATTTTTAGTATTTAGTTTACACTCATCATTCAGAAACATAGAGTCGATCTGCTATTGTAGGTTTATTAAAAATTGTTGGAGCCTCTGGATGAGATTTTGTTTGTGTTAGCTATGTAATGGCAAAATCCACAAGCAGGGACTAGGATTTTACTATACCAGACTGATTTTTAGAAGATTGAATAATTGGAGGAAAAAGAAAATCTACTGAAGTGTTTCACGGAGATAAGAGCTGCATGAATGAAATCCATCCAAACCAACGAAAAGAAACTACCTATCTTCAATATTTTTTTATCACATACTCTGAAGAAAGAGCTCAAACAAGTTTTATTTTTATCACTGTGGTCAATTTCTATTTAAATGGATTATGTACAGATCAAGCTCTTTTTTTCTGTTGGCTGAAGTTTCTAGCTAGAAGACCAATTTCTAAATCAAGGTCTTTTACCCTGTGCAATAGGTTAACTTATACTTCTCTTCCTTCAGAATGGCCACAAATATTTTTGCATTTTGAAATCAGTCAGATTGTCAGATCAATAGTGACTGACATGATGAAGCTGTAAGGGCATCTTTGACAAAGGCTACTGCCTTTATTTCGTTCAGATCTGCCTTCTTGCTGGCCGAAGTCGCTCTCTTTGCAGCATGTAGATATAGGAAAGGTTCAGGAGCCCAAAGTTGGAGGGACAATATTTAAGTAGGCTGGAATATATAGTTCGGAGAGTGGATTGAGGGAGACATCTTACTCATATCATATTGTAAAACAGGCAGAGGGCTCATGCTCTCAAGAACAAAAACACCTTAAAAAATTACTAATGGTCTAAAGTCCTGGTGATCTCTATAAACTGGAAGAAGAGCCCTTGGGAGGGTCATCTGTGTGGCAGACTGCAGAGGCCGCTCCAGCCTCCAGCCTGTTATTTCCTCCAGGGGGCCCCTGCAGTGCACAGAGCTGGCAGCGATGCCCAGGAACTGGGCATGGTCGGACCGGCGGGAGAATTTCCTGCCAGACCTCTGTGTGGTAAGAAAAGGCTGATTCACAAAATGTTCCTCATGCTTTCCCATTCCACCCTGCTGGCCCGACACCAAAAAAGCAAGGGGCGTTTCTCCACAGATCTTCTTGTACCAACACTGAGGTGGCTAAATCTCATGGACTTTACTTAGGACTTACTCAGGTGAAACACCCTTTGAGTCAGTGGAAAGTTTTTTTGAGCAGCACTTGAGTTAGAAAGTTGAAGAAAGTATTGCCAAGCAGATGGACCGACCAGGTGATCTAACTGCTCTTTTCCACCTAGCACTCCAATGGACAGAAATATGCTATACAGGAGCTTGTGGCGTGTTGGGAAAGAGGAGGAAGTACACTGCTGAAGTAGCAGTGCTTGAAGGCATCAGGGCTTAGAGTGGTTTAATTGTCCCGGTGCTGCTGCTAGGAGAAAATTCTTGCTTCGTCAGTGCAAAAGTTCTTTCAACACAAGCTGTGCGGGCAGATAGGGAGCAGGCTGTACCCTTGAAGTGCCCCAGCACAGCATGGCCCTTGCGCTGCTCACGCGGGCTGCAGGCTCGGCCCTTCCCTGGCCCAGCTCCCTCAGCCATGCGGTCACCGATTCTCCTGTGTGGGAAAGGCTTCGTAACGGGGCGCTCTAGGTTGAAGACAGCAGGGTTTTAATACAGATAATGCTAGATTTCACTTTGTGTATATGTTTGTGTGTGTATGTGTGTGTGTGTGCATATATGAAATAAGGGAGGAAGAAACTTTATATGTACGCACATGCATAAGCTTATTTATCTACAAAGGCTGTCCCTTTTAAAGGTAAAGCAAATGATAAAAATTGCAGTGAGGTGGAGTCAAACTTCAGTATGCAGCGCTTGAGTTATCTTCTCTGGCATCATATTTCTCATTAGTCTCAGTATTCGCATTTGAAAAGACATTTATATTGATATTATTAAAAGTCACCTGACTCATAGCTGTAGTGTAGAGGTTAATTAGTTTAGAAGTTTGGAAGCTCATGGAAGGTGAAAAGTACTCCAATGTGCTGTTGCTATGTTGCTGTTTACTTCTATATAAAATAGGCTTGGATGATCATGTGCTATGTATTGCGCTGTGTTGGTGTAAATGCAGGTACGTGATTCATGTGTCGCCTGTGTGCTCTCTCATCCAGAAGCAGTGAGGTACTGATGAATAATCAAAGCGTTTGATCAGATGATTTAAAGAAAGTGTGTTAAAGAACTGGTGGGGACCATAAAACTGAAAATTTCCAAAGACTCTTAATTGCTACAGATGCTGGTCTGGGTTTTTCACTCATTCAGTCTTGCCTCTTTCCTCAGTTTCTTCACAGCCCCTTAGTTTTCTCTAATTTCCCAGAAATACCTGCTAACTGGGCACCCGCTCACGTAAGCTGCATAGTGAGGTGGTGCGAAGGGTGATTTCCTCACAGCTTCTTTTTATTTTATTTTTGATGGGGGGAAGATGATTCCCTTTGTTTAATCCCTGTCTCAGGACTTGGTGCTTTCAGCTGGTGCCAGAGCAGCCGCTGCTGCGGATGTCTCATGTTCCCTAGGAGCTCGGTGAGGAGCTCCCTGGCTTCCTCCTCCAGAGCCCGCATGTCTCCTTTGATTTTCCTCATACGTGCTGTCTTTGTCTTACTGCTGGTGATGTCCCTAGTGACCGGGACGTTGTGTGTACGGGAGGGCTTCAGCAGGCAAGGAAGGGCAGATGGAGGATGCTGCTGCGGTCCCCAGACAGATGGCTTGGGGTATTCGTCCTGTTTGAGAGGGCTGGCAGTGCTGGTGGGCAAAAATGGGTCTCTCCACCAACCCACATGCACCACTGCCTTCCACTGCCCAAGGTTAACCAGCTCCGCAGGGCGGAAGTTTGGCCGATGACGGGCTCCTCTGCCCAGTGGAAGCCCCCCAACGGCTGGTCCCATGCTCCTAATAATACAGCTACCTCCATCTTATCACCCTGCCACAGTTCACCCTCTTTCTGATGTGAAATGGGTACTATATTTATGCAGAAGAGTCATGAAAATTGCCATGACAATGATTGTGGTTGCTTGGGAATGCAAGAAGCTAATTTTGCCTGAATAATAAGACACAGAGTCATCTGTCTCCCTTGGTAAAGCAAAGTAGTTTATGCAGGTGAGAACAGGTAATCCTTGTGAGGGCATAATTGCAAAATCCGAAAATATTCCTATATCAGTGCAGACTGGTGACTAATAAATAACTCTAATGTGCTAATGGCTGAAGTTTGATGCCCTCGCTCATTGTGCTGAAGATCTGTAGGAAACTGGAGAGTCCCTGCCCCCTCATTTCACCACCGAAGAGAAAAAAAAATCGCATTAAAAAAACTTTAGCCTGAAAATAACTCTCTACTGTACATCTTCGCCCAGGGCAAATTTTTCATTGGTGAGTAACAGCATTTTCACAATCCGCCTTTTATACTTCTCTCTCTAATGCTATGTAGTATGCCAAAGTTCATTTAAAGGAGACTATAGCTTTTGCTGTGGAAATCCTCTTGAGGAGAAGAATAAAATATTTACCCAAAACTAAAGCCCTCTAAGTTAGTGCTTTTACTTCTCATCAGCCTCCCTCTCCAGCAAAACCTGTGAGGACCTGTTTGGCGAAATGCTGACGAAGGCTTTTCATTCGAGCAGCAGTGAAAGCAATAAAAAAGACCCCGGTTTGTTCCGGTAACGTCCAAGGCTCTCCAAACAAACAAAAAAAGCCCGTCTCGCCGAGGTAACACCCCCTGAGACGTGCAACGATTTCGAAGAGCAGGCCGCGGCAGGGAGCCGTGCAGGGGGCGCGTTTTCGCCGGGCGCGCGTCGAAGCTGTTAGCCCGGGAGCTGGGCGCCCCGTTTTTTTTCCCGCGGCACGGCCGGCCGTTCTGCACACGTTTTATTTCCCAGGAAAGGATTCCCTAAGCTCACTAGCTCTTGCCAACCCAGATGCAGCAGTCATGGTAGCAAGTTGAGACGGCGTTTCCTGCCGTCTCCGCACCCGGCTGCAGAAGGCATCGAGGAAGCGTGCAGGGGCGAGCCCACCCTCCCTCCTCGGCGATCCGCTTGCCGCAGCGTAGTGGTTAAAGGTAGTTTGCAGCTGTGTCTGAGGCATTTCTGTGCTCGGTTTCAGTCTGCAGCAGCAATTAGCCTTCAAAGTCGTTGGTCAGACTCAGTGAAGGGTAATGGTGACTTTAAAACTGCTCCCAGGAATTAGATAAACAGTCTCTTAGGGCTCAGAAGAAATCTCTCTCTCACTCTTAAATTTTTTTTTAGTGTCTTGCACTTTTAGTTAGTGACAGTTTTGCAAATTGCTAGTAAAGAACTTAAATGTCTAATTAAATCTCGAAGATGTACAAGAGTTTGAAGAGCGTGATTGATGCCCACAAAGGTATGGCTGCCTAATGGAGTCGTCCTGACAGCAATCGCGAAAGCCCATTTAACGGCTGATGTCTTGTTGTGATCCATGTTGTCATTTTTTCATTACTGATTAAAATTAAAAATCTGCTTGGCAAATCCATTGTAAAAATTTCCTTCATGAAAATCGACGGGTACAAATTATTTTGTCAATCGCCTGGCAATCAAACTGTGACTGAAGACTGTTTCATGCCCATAGATTTTTTTTTTTTTCTTTTTGCTCATGCCAGTGAGTTTTCATAGCAAAGTTTTTAAAGCGTAGGTGGCAGTCTTGGCAATGTTTTTTTTTTTTTTAAATAAATAAAGCTGCAGCTCTATATTTTAATGAAATGTTTTGTTTATGTTGTCTTCCCATTCCCATTTGAAAGCAAATGGGAATGTTCCTCACTCTGCAAGTGGAGCTATGCTACATAATTGTCTAATGCTGTGTAATGACAGGTGAATAATAGCAATAAAAGCCTTTATTAGGATAAAATCTGTTTTGAGAGAGGAAGCGTAAACTGTCTAAAAAGTACAACTGAAAAAAAGAGGAAAAAACGAGGATGCCTTGCGAGGGTGCTGCAGAGTAGCTAGCAGATATCTACGGCTGAGCCGCTTGGAGAGGTTTTTGGCGCGGTGTCTATGCACAAGGGCGGATGCTGCGGTGGGCAGTGCTGGGTCTGTGCCCCATGCGGGTGGCCTGTACCCTCGGCACGGCCGGGGCACCCCGTGGGCCCCGCGCCGACT